GAGGAGTTTCTTCCCAGACATACTATGAAGCCAATATTACACTGATGTTGAAACTAGATAAAGATATCACAAGCACACTAGAGATCAATTTCCCTTATGAATGCCTATATTAAAAATGAAAAATCTCAAATCAGTAACCTAATTTGCCACTTTTAGAAACTAAAAAAGAGTAAAAGTCTTCAACAAAATACTAGTAAACTGAATCCAGGAGCACATAAAAATGATTATGAACCATGACTAAGTGGTATCTATCCCAAGAATGCAAGGTTGGTTCATCATATGAAAATCTATCAATGTAATCCACCATATTAATGGAATAAAGGGCAAAAATCATGGAATCATCTCAATAGATTCAGAAAATTACAAAATGCCTCATAATTTAGTGATAAAAAACACTTGGAAAATTAGATATAGGAGGAAACATCATCAACCTATTAAGGGCTAACTATGACAAACCTTTAGCTAAATGTAATGGTGAAAGCTGAAAGTTTTCTCCCAAAGATCAGACAATGATGCCTACTGTCACCCTAAGAACAGAAAACAATGTTCACTCTCACCACTTCTATTCAACACTGCACTGTAAGTTCTAGCTAGTGCGATTAGCCAAAAAAAATGTTTTGGAAAACAAGAAGTAAAACTCACTCTAATTGCAGATGACATGATCTTTTATATAAAAAATTATAAGTAGTACAGACACCCCCCCCCCATACAACCTGCTAGAACTAATAAAAAATGTCAATAAGGAGGCAGGATAAAATATCAACATATAAAAATTAATAATATTTTTATACACAAGCAATGAACAATCTGAAAATGAAATTAGGAAAAGAATTCCATATATAATAACATCAAAAAATAACAAATTTAGGAATAAATTTAACAAAAGAAATGCAAGACTTCTGTAAGTGAAAAATACAAAATATCATTGAAAGAAATTATTGAAGACATAAATAACTGGAAAGTTATCCCATGATCATTGATCAGAATACTTTATATTATTGCAATGTAAATATTATCCAAGTTGATCTACAGATTCAATGCATTCCTTCTAAATATTCTAGCTGCCTATTTGCATAAATTGACAAGCTGATCCTAAAATTCATTTGAAAATGTAAGAGATGCCTAATGAATGAAACACTCTTGAAAAAAAGAACAAATTTTAATAATTCACATTTCCCAATTTCAAAACTTAGGCAAAGTTTCAGTAATCACTACTCTATGGTACTTGAATAAGGATACACATATATCTCATTAGAATAGAATTGAGTCAGCAATAAACCCACACATTTATGGCCAATCAATTTTGAACAAGGATGCTAAAAGCATAAAATGGGAAAAGAACAGTCTTTTCAAAAAAAATCATGCTGGGAAAACTGTATATCCACATACAAAAGAATGAAGCTGAACTTTTACCTCTCACCATACCGAAGTTAACTCAAAATGGATTAAAAACTTAAACACAGGAGCAAAAAAGTAAAAATTTTAGGGAAAATACCCATAGGTATAAATCTTTGTTTTCTTGCTTTAGGCAATAACAGCTATGACACCTAAAGCACAAGCAGCCAAAGAAAAATCAATTGGACTTCATAAAAATTGAAAACTTTTGTGCTTCAAAAGATATCAAGTAAATGAAGTGATAACCCACAGATTGGGAGAAAATATTTGCCTATCATATATTATAAATGTGTAGTGTTCAGAATATATAAAGACTTTTGTAACTCTACAATAAAAAACAAATAAGCCAATTTTTAAACGGACAAAGTTTTTGAATCTATATTTCTCAAAAAGGACTTACAAAAGGCCAATGAAAAGATGCCATTAGCCATTAGAGGAATACAAATCAAAACCACAATAAGATAACAATTTACATCCAATAGGATGACTATAATAAAAAAGACAGACAGTAACAAGTGTTATCAAGGATGTGGAGAAACGGGAACTCGTGCATTGCTGTTGGGATTATAAAGTTTTGCAGTTCCTTTAGAAAACAATTCGACAGTTCCTCAGAAAGTTCTCATGTGAGCCAACAATACCACTCCTAGGTATATAATCTAGAAAACTGAAAACATATGTTCACACAGCTTATCCACAGGTATTCATGGCATTATTCATAATAACCAAAATGTAGAAATAACCCAAATGGCCACCAACTGATGAACAGATAACCAGTGTTCTATATGCACACAATGGAATTTTATTCAGCTATAAAAGGGAATGAAGTACTGATACATGAGACAACCTAGACGGACCTTGAAAACATTATGACAAGTGAAAGAAGCCAGTCCCAAAGACAACGTATTTTATGATTCCATCTAGATGAAATATCCAGAATAGTTAAATCCCTAAAGACAGAAAGTAGATTAGTGATTTCCAGAAGCAGGGGATGCAGGAGCAACGGGGAGTGGCTGCTCACTGGTACAAGGTAATAAAAATATTCAGGAATCAGACAGTGGCGATGGTTGTGCAACAATATAGTAAATCCCACCAAATTGTAATTTAAAAGGATGAATTTGATGGTATGTGAATTAATCTCAATAAAAAAAGAAAGTTTATAGCCTTTAACTCTTTTTTTTTTTTTTTGTATCTTATCAATCACATCAGCATCCCCTTATGGGATGCCCAGAACTATCTACGATGTGCCAGCCATATGCTAGCTATGAGATTCACAAAGACACAGTTCCTGAAGTCAAGAAGCTGACATCTCAGTAGAGACAATAGAAACGTAACCAAAAAACCCAACACCATGAAGCAGAATAGACGACGCAGTGCATAAGACCATTGTCAGCGGAGTCGGACTTTCTGGATTCAAAAACCAGCTTACCTATTTTCTGCATGTGATCTTAAGCCAAGTAACCTTTACAAACTTCCACTTTTTCCCTAGAGAAATTGAATGATAGCACCTGTCTCATTTGATGCTGTGAGTATTAAATGAGCGTTTGAATGAAAAGATCTGATATAATGCCTGGCTTATAGCGTAAACACTAAATAAATCGTAGCCATTATCAGTATGCTAGACATGTGTTCCAATTGTTATGGGGGCTTAAAGAAGGAAATACATAACTCTTTCAACAATCCAGGCAAGCTTTCAAGTGTGAAGTTGAATTTGAAGGATTAGTAATATTTAATAAGCAAAATAATTGAGAAATGGCATCATAACACACAGGAAAGAGCAGGTCTTGTGAGCAAGCAGCTCTTGGCCCTAATTTCCCTTCATCAGTTCTTAGACAAATGCCATTCTGTGATGAACATTTAACTTTCCCCAACAAAATTAGAAAATTAGGAAAAAGGAGATGGTATTGAATTTAAAAAGCTCCTTTTGTGTACATTATAGAACTGACCTTTATTCTCATATTAATCATATTCCAATTTTAGTAGGTTTTAAAATATTCAACATATTATTAAACAAAAGAGAGAGCAAATGGTAGCATTGTTTTTAATCCTAACAAGTAAAAATCTATTTGTTCTCTTTTGATTACTATCATTTATTTACTGTTTTGCTTGTTTCACATTTTACTGCTAAATGCAATCAGAGGGTCTGGTAACCACTGCTCAGAGTGGGATTAAATGAGTTTAGAAGGGTAGGCAGAGTTAGGCTGTGAAGATCCTTACATATATTAAGATCAGACTTGATTTTGGAGGTGATATGAGGAAAACATGGGAGAAAGTTAACAAGATTGTGACATAATCAGAATAAATAGTAGCCATTAATAAACATTATGTCAATAATTGAAAGAACCCATAAACTTCTTCCTCAGTAATTTACAATTTCAAATTAACAGGTTGGGGGCAGGATATACTGTACACAAAAGTCAAAGGGCTTGAATTAGAGAAGATACATGTACACGGATGTACGTGGGCTCCTTAAGAAACAAACAAGACAAAACAAATACACATTTAAACTAAAATATTTGTTAGTGTCTCCCTGTAGACAAAGATTAGTAACCATGGAAAAATGGAATATAACTCCAACAAAATGAAATAAATTGTTATATTTTTATGTGACACACTTTATCCTTTGTCCAAAGAAAAGCTTGTTTTATGAATTAATACAAAACATCTTAAAAATAAAATATTTTAAAAGAAGTCAAATTATTCATTACAGCTTTTTCCTAAATTGCATAATTCTTTATGTTTGTACATTAAATTCTTTGATATATCTCTCTTTGAATAAAGATATGTCTCTCTTTTAATTGACCATACAGCGGCTGGTTTTACACAATTCACCAATTTCACATTCAAAAGTATTATATAGTGCCCTTTGTTCTTGGAGAAACAATAAAAGATAAAGTTATAATTATTATGCATAACCTTCATAGTTGCAAAAATATTATCTTATTTTTGTCTGAGTTCAATGGAAGATAACATTAAATTTAGCATAGTCTATTACATAGATCTCAGTAGTAAAAGTTTTGCCAATGCTGAGCCATATTTATAGTCTCCATAATTTGAGAGAATATTTGTATTGTTTCTTTATGTAAATTTTGGAACAATTTGTAGGTGTTAGTGTTGCCACAGCACATCATTCATTCACATCCATTTATTTCAATGCGTATAATTGACTTAATTTGGATACTTTTTTATTTGCTATCCTAGGTCCCTACTATAACCCATTAGATGAAATCACTTTTGGAGTTGATTTCAGTCTTCATAATGCATTGCACTATAATGATATGCACAATATAATTATGATATTTTGATAACGAAGTAGTCAAAGAATGAAAAACTCTCTTCTGAGAGGCTTGATTCTTCTACATCAAATGATGGAAGAGCTGGTTGAAGACATTTAGCTCCACTTGGCTTACAAAGTGATAAAGTTTGGGGGCTGGCCCCGTGGCTGAGTGGTTAAGTTCGCGCGCTCCACTGCAGGCAGCCCAGTGTTTCGTTAGTTCGAATCCTGGGCGCGGACATGGCACTGCTCATCAAACCACGCTGAGGCAGCATCCCACATACCACAACTAGAAGAACCCACAACGAAGAATACACAACTATGTACCGGGGGGCTTTGGGGAGAAAAAGGAAAAAATAAAATCTTTAAAAAAAAAGTGATAAAGTTTGAAATATACTTCTTATAAAATATAACGTCTCAATCTGATATATTTTATTCCAATTTTTAAAATTTTCTTCTGACAATTTGCCTTCAAAGCACGAACATTTATTTCCTAAGCACTTACCATTGTTGAGAAATGAGAGGCCGTATATTGGAAAGGAGATAGTGTCAGAATTAAATTAGAGAAATAAAACTACTAGAGATGATGCAGGATAAGAGATTTACTATAGGGCTTCAAATTTATACATTTTTGGTAGCTGGTAAGATAGTCTTGGTCTGCTGTTTCATCTCCACCTACCCCCGAGCCTAAAGGCACAGGACAGGTGGTGAGGTTTGAAAGATGGACAAGTAGAGAAGAGCAATGACAACTGAGACCTGTGTCTATATCTCATGGGAGCCCATATTGGCCTCTTCTCATCTCCAAGCCTCCAGTCTCACTGCCATGGTTGACTTGTAGAAGAAGCTATCACTCTACCAAGTAATCAAACTTGTACTTGGCTCAGAACTGAGATGTTGACAGCAGATTTCCAGCAGGAGCTGGAGACCTGGGCTGGACTGCTGCCCACGCCAACGACGTGAGTCAACAAACCTGTAGAAACTTTGATGAGCTGCAGAAGAGCCAGACTTGATCAAGTTTCCCAGAGTGAACACAATTACGGCTTTATTTTCACCTTCCAAATCTCGCACAGATATATCTTGTGGCCAAATCTAAGCAAAAACATAAGAGGGAAAAATTCTGGGAAATGTAGTTAAGCTTAGCCAAGTCAACAAATTCTAAAGCCACCACAGTCCACCCCTTGTCAGCTAGGCACCCGATCAAACACATCTCGTTTAACCACACTTTACTTCCCAATAAAGACAAAAGCAAGCTTATGCTTCTGCCTAATGTTATGCATCTATCCTGCATACAACCAAAAAGCATGCTAACTTTCTCCTCATAAAAGGTACTTTTACTTTAAAAGTGTTCTTTTATTCATTTTTCATTAATGCTCATTCTTCTGGCTGAGTCACAGTCTCTTTTTTATATCATATAACTGAAATATTGAGCTATTAAATTAGCTAGTATTTACAAATATGATGTCAGATAGTAGGAGAATGAGAGGTAGAAAAAATAATTGGTTAAAAATGTATAAATATAGTCATAAAAATTAGGAAGAAATACATATAACTGTTACAATTCTGATTACTGCAAGTAGCAATATGATTGTAGCTAATACATGTCTAACTTCTTCCTAGATCCATTTCACGTCTCCTTTGCCCTCAGCTGGTCTAAGTTCCTTGCCTATTGGGTGACTCAAACTGTTAACACTGTCTGAATTGAGTTGTAGCTCTCCATTGACTTGATCCACAAGATTTGGGACTACTAAGAGGTATCCCAGGGAATCTTCTGAGTTCCAGACATAATTCTCTTTTCATTCACATTATATAGTAGTAATCCAAGTTCGTTCTGAAATTCAAGATCACTCACCTCAACCAACACAAACTCACTACTTTGCCTGATAACTCATCGGCATCCGGAACCCAAAAGAGACAGGGGGCTACCTCAACTTCCAGTTTAAAGTAACCCATTGTATCTACCATGGTGGAAACATTCTATCTTTGAAAACGAAAACTACTAGATTAGAAAAGTCTAAATTTGTGGGAATAGGAAACAAAATTTTGTTAGGGGATCAATAGCGGTAATATTGATAAAAGCTACTCACATTAACACCATCAATTACTGAACTCTTGAATATTAGCTTAGAAAAAAGCCAGTATATACATTATGTACTATTAAGAAAATTGCCCCAACCCAATGTATGACACTGTGAGATTTGATTTCTTTATATAAATTATGGGAGCGGTAGTCAGTAAGTATTATTCTTACTTTGATTAAAGAGTAGTATAGTTTGAAATTCACACTCTTTCTTCAGATTTGCTTGCCTAACTGTGCTATTGTGTTTCAATTTCAATTCTGTAATTGTCATCCTGTCACTGTTCCACTGAAGTCTGAAGTTTTATTACCTAAGTAATGTTGCTTATTAAGAAATGAGAGGTAGTATACTGGAATGGAAACAGCATGGGTTGTGAAAATAAATAACCTGGGTTTACATCTTGGCCTTGTCATGTCCTAGGAATGATCTTCAGGGACTTAGTTAATGTCTATCACTCTAAGCCTTCTCATCTTTAAATCAGTATGATAACTTAACAGTGTTTTGTGAGAATAGGATAAAATACATACAGATCAGATAATAATAGACACATAATAAACATTAGTATTCTAATTGCATTTTTTAAATAGTGAGATGCAAATTCTTCCATAAATTAAGCAGGTTAAAATATTATAAGGGAATGGAAAAATCATAAAATCAAATAATTTTCTTCAAAATGCATCCTAGAAATTGCATTTTGCTGTTTGTTCTGCATAACAAATACTGGAACGATGTATTTGCATTTGTTTTGACATATCTCTGTTGATCATAGGAAGCATTCAATTGCATGTATTTAAATAATTGTTATAAAAGATTAATATTTTATTACATACATACCATATGCATCATATAATACTATGTATACATTATATACGTATTATATCATATGGGATTTGATGTCTCTATAATCTGACAGAAATTCATGTTACCACAGGGGAAAGGGGGAGAACGGAGGGCAAAAGGGGTGATTAAGCTCACATGTGAGGGGATGGACTATAATTAGTTTTTGGGTGGTGAATATGATGTAATCTACACAGAATTCGAAATATATTATGATGTAGATCCTAAAATAAACAAATAAATGAAAAAAAAAAAGTAGAGCTTTTAGAAAGAGGTCAAGCCAAAGAGTCTATCAACTCACGTATCCCATGTTGTGTTTGATAGTTTATTTTCCATCGTTTAGTCTGAATCTAAACTGTTTAGTCAAATCCTTAAGCAACTTTTTAAATAGAATCAATGAATTTATAGTGAATTAAAGAAAACTACATTATTTATGTAATCTCTGATAAAACTGGCTGCCTAACTGTGCCCAAAGCATGACTTTTTTTTTAAGATATGGTAAAATCCGTATACCAGAATTTGGTCAAGATTGACAATGAGTGTTTTGAATTTTTCATTCTTTTTTATTTTAATTTCAAAGCATCTTAAGTCACTCATGAAAACATAGCCCACAATATCTACTTTCATTAAGTATGCATGTGCTCTGATCTTATTTATATTCCAATATGTAGTTAAAACATGCCATTATGAGTTCCTAAAACAAATTTTTCTCTTTATACTAAGCGTTCAAATTGCTTCCTTCTTTATTCTAAGGGGTCGTATTATGGGAAAACACCTGTTTGCTCTATTCTACGTTAATATTCATAAGAATTAAGGCCTGAAATCATCAACCCTTCCAATAGTTCTAGTTGTAAATTGATGGAAGATAAAAGAAGTTATGACAGTAATTATGTAAATGAATGTAGAAAATTAGCTTGCCACTGTACTCATTTCAGAAATAATTTTAAAAGCAAGAGGCAAACAAAGGAGTTAGAGATGAGCTAGTTCAAAAACACAACACTGTCATTGACATGAATGGCTTCCATTCATTTGATCATCACAGAGACAATATTTATCTTTATTTTTTAAAATTGTTACTGATTTATGTATTTGTTTTCTGTACTGTATGCTCATTGAGTTAAAATGTAAGCTTCTCAAGAATTGCTGGGTTGAAACATAAAATATTTGAAAAAGTTAAACCTTTCATGTATAATGGGAAAGTAACCCACTTACTTAAGAATAAATAATTGCTTGAAAAACAAAGATTTCTGCAAATGAAACAAAAACCTGATAATAAATAGAGTTTACTTTTTCTATTAAATTTTACTATATGCTGTAATATTTTCCAATGTATTCTTGTCCATTTTGAAGAAATCAATTCTTATTTAATGTCATGCGTTCAGATCTTAGGAATTCTGAAAATAAACTACACATGACAGGCACAGGAACCGTAAGTGCTGAATAGTTGAGTGTGATGTGCAGGAGACAGCACGGTGCAAATGTGAAATCTTTTCAGACAATAAATCTATGAAGAGTAAGTGTAACTGTTCCTCCATCCCTCTATCAACAGCTTCACCGTCAACAATAAATGGTTGTTTGAAATCTGCCTTTAACACGACAATGCATTAAGGATTTTGGATTCTATGAGGAACGAAGAAAACAATTCTTGTTCCTTCAAGAGCCTTACAATCTACAGAAAATAAACAAATAAAATATTAACACAGTTGAGTAAAGTAAATGCTCCAGGTATTAAGAGATGAGAGTGATTATCAATGGAAGACCCAAGGGGTAGAAATACAAAGAAGGTGGTTTGTGAAAGATAATGCTAAAAACTGCTTGATAAATATTAATTATGTGCTAGTCATTCCCTTTATAAACATGTTCTCATTTAATCTCACAACACCATTATGGAATAGCTAGTGTTGTTTTCCCAGCTAAACAGATGGCGAAAATGGCGCAAAAGTCAAACTTCTCAGTTACATCACTATTAAAGTTCCACAACCTGTATTTTCCCCACTTTGAGATTTAAACTGAATAAAAGGTAGGAGAAGCAAGACCCTGAAGCTAGGGAGGAAAAAAAGAGACAATTATAAGGAAGCATAAATACATATACAAAGCCCTACCACACTATGGAGCACATTTCTAAAATAATTATTTCTAATATTACCTTCTGATTATGAATGAATAAAGATGATTTTGTTTTTTCTAGATTTTGCATATAAAAAAGGATAAAGTTTGGTCACTGGTTTCTAGAAACTGAGATTCGCTAGCAACAATATGTATTTATATTTCTACCTATTTCTAATTATTGATAAGATCCTGAACCAGTAAATATTCTCCTGGACACTGCGGCAAATATTTCAAATCTCTCAGATCCAGGTTACAGCTCTGTGGACAGAGCATCACAGCCCAAGAAGAAAATCAGAAAAAGCTCCAAAATCATATAATTTTTACAGTCTTCATTTTTCAGTTTTACCTGGAGCTGCAGAGCTACACTTGAATAACTTTTATTTAAAGTGTATATTTAGTATTTTTTGGAAAAGTCTATTTGAATAGTTCCAAATAGAAAAATAGCTTATCTACGTTTTCAAGATTTAGATTCTCCTTGAAAACAGAATCTTTTTAAACTAGTCAGTTTCTAGCTTTGTACATAAATTGGAAAATTCTTTAGATGCATTTCAAATTCCTTGCAAAGTAATATTTGGAATTAATAAAAGGTTATTGAATGTTTATGCATAACATTTTTTATAACATAACATTTATAATAATAAGCTAGGTAGTCATTTTAATTTTGTAATATATAACATTATATCAGAATATTTTATGAATATATGACCAGAATTCTGGGGAAAAAAAATAGAATCTGGAAATTAACAGGAAACAAAAAAGGTACTGGGTTATGCAGATACCTTAACTGGAAAAAAAATATAAAGTGTAATAATAAAATATAAAACATTAGAAATTAGATGAAATTTACATAGAACTTATAAATTTGGCAATTGTAAGAAAGGTAATATAAATGTATACATAAATGCAAAGCTTGGCTCTGGTATACTAGTAAACCAGCTCTCTGGAAAAAAATCCTGCTTTAAAGCATTTGCCAATTTTCATAGTGTAAATACTCCTACCATAGTCAATTTCAAGCTACCAGCATAATCTCACTGAACAAAGAATTGGGAAGAAATGCTAACAATCTGGTTTCATGATCCAGTGGGAGCCCACTCCAGCATACCTTGCTCTTCTTCCATCTCCCATGAGAAGCTCCCTTCAAGCACAGATTGAATTTTGTATCTTTTGTGTGTCTGATATATATGCAACCTACAAGACAATGACCATAACATGGTTAAATGGAAAAGCCTGAGCTGCCAAGGTAATGTTTACATAACAAGTATTGTAGCGTCCACATTCAGTCCCATCCTGAACCACATTCGGCTCTGATCCCAAGTTACTGCTCTTCCCAAGGACAGTGAAACAAAACACCCCTTTTCTGGCTGCAGGAGTACAATACAAATGGTCCGATGATATGGAGCAAAGTACCCAGCCTGGAGTGTCATCTTGCATTATCAGAGAAAATACTCCCTGGGGGTATTATATTATAAGTAGAGAAGACAGTGTTTTGCAGCAATAACTGGAGTGAAGAAGAAACACTTCCTTAGTTGTACAAGTGATTAAGTCTGCTGCTTAAAATCTGGTTTTTTGAATAAATATTTGAGTAGAAAATGAATAATAAGATTTCTGATACAAGAGAGCACCATTCAATGTAGCATAGTATGGTTCAAGAACTGCACAGGACACACAGCAGAGTGTTGGAACACGGTTAAGACAAGAAGAAAAATGCAAGCCACAGGAGAACACAGTCTTTGAAATATTCCCCAATGACAAAGTAATACGGAAACTTTACTGAATGTCACTTTTTGTCTGTGTTTTTTATAAATTGTGATTGTTAACTATAAAGTCCATACCACTCTCATCACATGACGTGCCTCTTCCAGGAAATACCATATATTAAAACCTGGGAAAACTAAATCCAACCTAACTACTTTCATCAACATTCTTGAACCAGAGTGGACGAAACCAGTCTCAGCAGCATTTCCTTACAGACTTTTGCTAAAACGGGACTGGTCTTCACTCGGGTGAACTAAATGTATTGATGCCTGCGCGTGAGTCATTTGCTTTCAAAATTCAGTGTTTGTTAATTTCAGCCAGGAAAATGCTATTTGGGTATAGCAAGAGTTAACAAGAAGCTGGATAATCCAGGATGAGAATGTATGCATATCAAAGTGTGATGATTCATTCCTGTCAAGTACTACTAAGATCGAAAGAGAGCTGTAGAACATAAACCGAAAGGTAAATGAGCAGAGGCCATGCAGGCTTTTGTTTCTTCTCTTAAGGTTTTACTTTATCTGGCAGATCAATTGTTTTAAAACTTTTCTTTAGAAGAGCAGAGCCTGTTTGTGGTGGATAGTGTTATTTATTCCTACTCTTTCATGCCCCCATGCCCTTGCCAGCGTTTCAATACGAGTTTAGTATGCTTCTCTACTATGTGACATCATAGGCCAGTGTCATTTGAGAACATAGGATATGAGCGAACTTTGAAACGTGCTTGTATTGTTTGGCCTGTCTCTGGAGCTTCTGCCTACTTCAAGAGGAGAGCGGGCCACAAACAGCCACTCATACCAGACAGAAAGACTCATGGAGGAAGCCTGGGGTACCTGCACCAAGGCCACCTCAGCCAATCCAAAGACTGAGTTAACAAGAAAGCGAATATTTGTTATTGTAAGACAGTGACATTTGGAACACATTCATTACATAGCATTATTATAGCAATCGTTGTCGAATGCTTTTTTTTCAAATATAATTTTAGCTGGGCCTAATAAGTAAAATACACAAAGCAGAATTGTTCGTTGACGGGGATGAGAAGCTCCAAGCACCGCTTGAGTCAGCTTCTCTTTCACCTGTTCCTGGTGGCCCCAGTTTGAAAAGAAACTCAATGGTTAGCTGGGAATATAAAGAGATTTCAAGTGGTGGAGCAATATGATCAGATGTCTTTGAGTGCATATGTGTGCATATTTTAAGGCCAGTCTAGCAGCAGAAGGATGACTAAAAGAGGATGAGACCAACGAGAGAGAGAGAGAGAGAGAGTGCTGAAGTACAAGAGAGATTCATGCTGAAGATCTGAACCAAGTAGTGGGAGAAAGAGGAAGAAATGGATTTAAGACACTTATCTGGGTAGCTGACATGACAAGATCAACTGGAAAAGCGTCTGACCCAAGTATCAATTAATACACTTAAAACAACAAAGATCTAACACTTTCACCTTACTGTGTGTCTGTTTTAAATCATTTGTCAGACAGAACAATGAAGTGACTGACTTTCTACTCTGTATCACATGGTGGCAGATGAGCTCAAATAAAACACATGACACATGAGGAAAGTTGGATAAAATGATGAAAACGTGATAAGCAGGCAACATTAATAAATTGTACACCATTTGGTTTTCCTCTTATTTAAATTTCAGTTAGAATAAGAATATGCATGATGGCGATAATGATAATTATTTCAAAATCGTGGCTTCTCTAAGTCTGGAGAAAAAACTGCCAAACCATCGGCTTGGTAGACTGAAATGAGAAACTACCACAGAATTTTTAAAAATAAAGAATTTATGGTTTTAGTTATCAGTATAGTAGGAAAGAACATGAGTTTAGGCATTAAATAAAAAGGGAGCTAAAGAGAAGATAATATACAGTTGTATAGATCCTTTGGTTTACATGGACTCTGAACAACTACCATATGAAGCAATCCGGCTCTACACGCATGTCAATCTCTCAGGAACCGTGTGAAGGTCAAGTGAGAATCCTGAGCAGTGGCCGCCATATGGAAACAATGACGGGTCAAAGAGGAATTGGAGACAAGTGCTCTTGCTCAGGAAGATCTCAGTGGAGGCCAAAGGGTGTAATCGTCTGGTTCCCTAATTTATCTTCTCATAACAGCACCTTAGATCTTGATGCTGCATCAGAGCACTAAGCATCACTTCAAGAAAGTAAGTGCTTAGCCGTGGATCACAGGGCAGGTCTGCTTTGATGCTCAGGGTTTGCAGACTGGTGAATTGGAAGCTTGAAGTTTCCACATTGAAGGAAACAACTTTGATATAAGCCTTGGGGCTGAAATATCAAGAAAGGACTTCTAAGAATCAATTGATGATAAAAGCTCTATCCCATTTTAACTTACTTTTGTGTATGTGAAAAGAATGCTACCAATTATTCTGTTTGCTAAGCTGGTTGGTTGTTCCTGGTGGCAGGATGCCTGCACTTCATAGAAAAGGGATGTTAACCTACAGATACATGTCAAATTAAACCTTTAATGTGGAGAAAAAATATCAAGAACCTTAGAACCTTCAGAAAATGTTTCCACTTAAGTGTTATTAGATGGAATAGACAGTATAAATTTTCAGCCGCTTTAGTAAATGTTAAATAATGAAGTTAGAGGTTCTGTCATATTAAATGGGATCAACTAACGCAAATAGTTGCAAGCAATGAAAATATCCAAAATGAAGCTTACTGGGCTTAAAATTCAGAAGAAAGTGAAGGAATTGGAGGTCATGAGTGAATCTGAGATCATGTAAAGGTTAGCAGTTATTGGAAATTTAGGATGTAAGATATCCTCACTGGATAAAAGAATGTCAAGAAACTAAATGACCATAATATTGGAATGATCAGATATGAACAGGTAACTCACAGAAAAAAATGTAAATATTCTTTAAACGTATGAAAAGATGTTCAGTTTCATTTAGGTTATAGAAACTAAAATTAAAACTATTACAGAGTATAAAGAGAGAGTGTTTTTACCTACAAGATTGTCAAAAGCCAAAAGACTTATCACAGTCTGTGCTGGCAAGCTATATTCTCACCCATTGTTTGCTGAAATGACAATCATTTTCTGTTAAAAAATTACATAAAAATTATAAAATGAAAGGATGCCTTTATGAACCCATGGCGATGATGTGCCATGAATTGAGGAGAATGATTAATTCAATAATGCATCTAAAGTTAAAAAAAAAATTACAGGAATATAAAAAGTGATAGCAAATTTAAATATGAAAGAAAATTTAGCATCAAACTTCTCAAATATAAATAACATATTTTTTTGACTGTTTATATGTCTTTAGCACCGTGTACAATGTATCACATAAATGATGTATTTATCTATCAAACATGTCTTAATTTCGCACTTCATCCTAGGGGCTGCACTGGGATGTGGTGAAGATGAAAGTGCATCAGTATACATCTTGCCTTCAAGCAGCTCATTATCTATTGAACAGACAGAAACTGCGCGCACAGTTTCAATCCAGAATAAGTGGCAGAATGACTCACATGTTGGTGTGAGAAAATTTGGGTCAGATAACTTTTCAATTAGAATAGAACTGAGAATTCTAAGTACTCTGGCCTACTTTTTATGGCCAATTTCTTCCTTTACTGTCCCAGAAAAATATTGCATGGCTTCTTCTCACTCCTTAATTCTCTAACACTTCCTTCCCCATCCTTAAAATGAACTGATAACCCAACTTCTTCCTTTACAGAGAAATTCAAAACCTCAAAAGTATTACATTTACTCATCTACTTGTGCCTATGCCTCTACACTCTATCCTCTTCTACACTGCTTGGAAGATTTACCCGTGCTCCTAATTATGGCCGGTTTCCATTTTTCTAGTAGATTGTATCAGTTCTTGCATTCTCAAGACATTGTTCTGGCAATTATTCTCTCTATTTCCTACATTATCATCTTTTCTGCTGTGCTGATCATTGCAATCAGGATAAACACGCACTGCTTTTGTCAAGATTACCAATGACTTCTACATATCGAAGTTTAACAGTCATGTTTGAGCTCTCATCTTACTGACTATAAGCAGCATTTAACACAGGTGATCAATTCTCTTCCCTTGAAATATTTCTTTTCACTTGGCTTCTAAAGCTCCTGACTCCCATGGATTTCTTAACGATATCACTGGCTGTTTAGTTTCTTTCCTGGTTCCTCATATCCTTGATGCTTAATATTGAAACCAACTAGGCCTCTCTTTGATTCTCTTCACTTTTCTCTTAGCATTTACTTGTTGGTCATCCCATTCCTTCTCTTGGTTTCAATACAATCTATATGCTAACAATTTCTTACTTTACATCTCCAATTCAAAATTTCACCTGAACACTTCAGTCATACACACATACACACCCAAACACATACGTGCATATGCGCACGCACACACATACGCACACACACATAGACCCATATACAACCTCTCTACTTTGGTGTCCAATAGAATCCTCATACATTACAAAACTAAAAGTGAATTTCTGATATAGTCTTCCCCAAACATAAGTTTTGGTTTTTTGTTAATTTTTATTTTTTTCGGATGTACATCGTATTTCAAATTCTGTATACATTATATCATGTTCACCACCCGAACACTAATTATAGTGCATCCCCTCACCTGTGACCCTAATCACCCTTTTTCCCTCCCCTCTCCCCCCTTCCCCAATGGTAACCACCAATCCAATCTCTAATGCTATGTGTTGTTTTTTTTTTTTGTCGTTTTTATCTTCTACTTATGAGTGAGATCATATGGTATTTGACTTTCGCCCTCTGACTTGTCTTGCTACTTTCTCACGTAAATATACATCAGACTTTCAAGGGAGAATAGTCTTTTGATATTTCCAAATGAGATTCCAAGTCTTTTCTGAATCCGCTAATTCACAAATTCTGCGATGGCAAACAATTTCTTTCCTAAAATTCAGGGAAATATAGCTAAGAGTTGAAGTAGGTCAGTCAAATTCTCAATGAGATTCATTGCCTATATAAAAATCTGTGGAAAACAGATGCTTCCTTGAATATGGCTGCTAAATTACTCTTCTGATGGTAGGATATGTGCACAGGATATGAGATTCAAATTTGTGTCACACATGTTACTACAGCTATTTATGAGCTTTCAGGGTTATTCACAAATAATGAGAATGTTAAATCCTCATATGCCCACAAGCTCCTACAGTATTAATTAAATTCTGCATAAACTTTTAACATGGATTATCAATTATAATGTTACCCATGTATGTCTTGTAGGAGCTATTAAATCTTTAATCTATCTCTAACTACTCAAATCCACAGGAATTTCTAGCTCTCTGAACTTCCAGAACAAGTAATACTTATACCACAAGTAATACTTATACCAATAAGAGTTGGCAAGTACCTCAGGCATCCTAAGACCAAGTTCCATTATTAACTCCATTCTCAGAGGAGGACCTAAATTTGGAAGAGAAAAAGGAAATTACCAAAGCAAGGCTACATGCTTTCTCTATATTTAGTTTACTTATCTTTTGACTGACCTTATTACAACTATCAATAGTAAGTAAGTAAAATAATTATAATGCCTAAAATCAGACTACCAGCCACAAGCCTAATGTTCTAATGTTTAGATATTGAGAACATAAGAATGATCGCAAAAATATCTTTTGGTTAGTCGATTATGAAAACTACTACATAGTAGAGGGTAACATATTGAGATATAACAGCTCTCAAAAAATCAGTATATAAAAGGTCAAAATTTGAAGAGTAAATTTTTGCCTGCAGATATTCTCAAATACATTAGTTCTGCTATGCACAAAACATTGAGAACAACCATCCATACCATAATCTTTCCACTTTAAAGAAATCTCTCAAGTTAAGTTTCTAGAGAAAATTTTCCAAAATCTAATGTTTACCTAAGATCTTTCTTCCCTGAGATTGCTCCACAAAAATATAGCTTAGCAGCAAATTTGGTAAAAAATAATTTTCAAAATGTAATTAAAGCAAGATAGTTCTTGAAGCACGATATAGTGAATATAAGAGATCACGTATAAAGATAATTTAATAGTAGCACAACACTAACAAGATGAATTAATCTGCATATTTATTTCATTCTGGAAACCAAATTATATGTAACAATGAGAAAACAATGACTCAAATTGACTTTTAAGCATTGTTGGCAAAGAAAAAACACTACTCAGGATAAAATTTTAAATAGAAACTCACTGTACATAAAAACAAATGATAGGACATAGATATAAACGTACATTTTTTTTTCCAACAATCACAGGCAAGAGAAGAACTAATTGAAAACCAATAAATTAAGTACAGTGCAGCAAGCGGTCTCTAGCGAACTCGGTCTATACATCAATAGGTCATTCTCAGTTAATTAAGTGAAGGCATAATCAGCTTAATTTATGTAGTTCACGGAAGTTAATGATATCATGGTACAGTACCTGACGTTTGGCCTGTCCATATAACTTGTTTTATGCATTCGGTTCATTCCGTTGTTCCTCAGAATGGGCACTTTATTTCTGTAGCTCACTTTCAATGCCTGTGTTCCTGCAGAAAATGGGAAATTTAACAATAAAAAAATTAAGATAAAACATCACTTAACAAAAAGTTATTTTTAAAATGACCTGATGTTTCAGCGAATTATTTTGCACTCCATAAAGAAACCGTAGCAATGAGGAGAAGTTTTCTGAAGTCAAAGCAAATATTAAAATAAGATTGGTATAAATGTACATGACATGCAAGTATAGATATTAAAAAGATGAGCCACTGAAGAAATTTTTAAAATATTGTGCAATCGTAAAATACATAAGCGTGAACTTGAAAGATGTAAGAATTATTTGATATATTTGTAAGGTGTGCTACATTTCAACACTAGATTTTTATACCTGCTGGTGGACTATCTTCTTTCTCAGCGAGAGAGTTTCTTTCCACTGTCTCTGTAGCTCATCTTCTCTTCTCTGAAGCTGCAAGTTTACACACAAAGACAAACCACAATGTCAACCAATTGGACCTCACTTAAGGAACCTGGGAGATCGATGTGTAAAGCAAAGAATGAACAGGACCCTATTTCTGAAGTACGTTGCTCAAACTGCTCTTTCATTAAAAGACGCTCTTTCTTATTGATTTTGGCTTAAGTAATGAGAAAGCTTATCCAAAAATCTTTAGCATTTGGGCTCAAGTTAAGGAAATCAATACAGTCATTTCCCATTTGAACTGCATATGTGAGTTTTATGTACGAGAGACAAGACAAAGCCAAATTCAGATAAATCAATAGCATTGTCAATAGAACATGAAACTGACAAATAGCGTTTTTCAGCAATTAAAGTGAGCTGTAAACATACAAAGACTAATCAATTACAATGTTTTGCCATTAACAGTTTTTAATTGGTACAAAAGTTATGTGTGAATGTGACTCCCCAGAAATGAAGAGTAGAGAACAGACTTCAGCATCCTTTCACTAATGAGGTGAAGCATGGCCATTTCACTGATGTTTTTATGAACACACAGAAAACTTTACAACTGCCAAAACAAATGAAGACTTTAATTAGGCAGATAGTATTTGAATATCAAATAATCTATGTAAATCAGTGAAGTACTTTATGAACACAGTCAAGGTGCACATACTGCATCCTTTCTTTTGGAATATACTCTTTGAAACACTGTTTTAAATTTTTAAAGAGTTTATAACATATTTTTGTATCTCTTAATTGAACAAAATTAAAATAGTTTTTATTTAAGCTGAAATAATGGGATCATTCTTAAATTTGAAAATTGAAAGCCAAAGTATCGCATTTCTTCTATGGTTGTATTCTTAAGAAATACAAAACTTTCTTTAAAAAATATTTCGCTTATAGATAAGGGATTCTAGCATTTATTCAAATGACTTTTAAGAGTGTTTTGTATCAGTGATAACCTGTAATAAAATACTGAGCCATTATGGTCTGCCATTACTCTGAAATATTCATGAAAATTGCAGTACAGATAGCCAAATATAATTCATAATACGCTAAGATAGGCGTATCATTAAAATGCAGATAAAACCTTTGTTTTTAATAAAAAATGATATAACAAAAGTAAAAGGTTAATTGAAAAGCAAAATAAACTACCGAATTTAGTAAGGCACATTACCTAGATTAACAGAAATCAATGAAATCATTAAAACAATTAATAACTTAGAGCTCCATTCAGACTAAGATAAACTCTGTGGCTATTAGAATGCGGACACAAGGCTACAGAGACATATCTATTCCGACTGGGCAATTTCCTCTCCTCTGTAACAGTTCAGTAATATATGCAGCTGGCATTATACGGTCACCCATTTCTTCTTGTGAGACAAGAGATCGTTCATGCTCTTTGCTATCTATGCTAAGTGAATCATAAGAACCACAGTCCTTACAGAAGAGAATGTATTTCCCCCCAGTGTTCAGGATATAAAATGGGCCATTAAAGCATCAATGATATTAATCAGAGCCTCATAATTGTTCAGCCTGTCCCCTGGATAGCAAATGTTCAGAGTTCTACCCATGCTCCAGTCATAAACAGGGACGCATTTACAGCAAAGGCAGGCACAGCTATCTTCCTAGTGGTGATGAGGTACACCTAAAGCCATCCTGTGCTTCTCTGAAGATCGCATCCTGGAAAGAAACTGAAAATAAGCAAACATAACTTTATGAGTTACATGAACATAACAAAAGTTATAATTATAAATGCTCCCTTTTTGCCCAATACACTAAAAAATAAATAAATAAAAGTGAAACTCTAGAAACAGAAGTGTAAGATAATGTTATGAAACAGAAAAGGATGCTTGAGTTTTAACCCTATTCCCAAGCTTCAGCCTTGATCTAAAGGAAGTTCCTGTCTTAGTCCTACAAAAGAAAAGAAGACAGATGACATTTTAAACCAACGCTTTATTGCCACCACCCTCAAATGCCAAGACTCAATGATTACATACTATTTTGGTCTTTTTTTATTCAGACTAAAACCAAGAATATACTGGTGCTCCCCAATAGCATTATAACCCTAGAATACAAATTTGAATACAAATACAAAGATGAAAATACAGTCTTTGTGAGACGAAAATATTTGTATTTAATAAGGTAAAAATCTGATCATATCAAAGTAAAGCAAATTTAAGTCATTACTTTAATCTGTAAGGGAATGCAACTTATCAGTAAATGTTTAAGAAATAACATGCAAGCAACCAAAAACTGAAATCTTAAGTTTTTGAAAGGGATTCTGATGAATGATCCTACAGAAGAATGTTCTATATAAACATGTAAGAAAGTACATAAACAATTTATAAAATATCAATAAACTGAGTAGCAAATAGTATATTAAAATAAAAAAATGTTCATTCTTAATCCTATATTCTAAGGAAAGGTATATCCAAGTTTAAAGAATGCATGATTCATGTAGAAAATTCATATTAGACAAAATCGTACAAAAACAACAGATGCAAATATAATGAATAGTTATAACATCCTAAAACTGAATTGCAGTGGGCTCTGGAGGAAGATCAATCTTGGTTTGACATTGCAGCTCTGCCATTTGCTAGCTGTGGTAATTTAGGGCATATTTTTACTTCTCTCTGAGAGTTTCTTTATCTGTAAAAAGTGGAGAAAATAATAGAACATTCTCAAGGGGTTGTTGTGAAGATTAGATCAGACGATATGTGTTGTACTTCGCACAATGCCTCACACATATTAGGCCTGTGCTAAATACTTCATGACCAAATGAATTAATTACTTTATTAATTAACAGTCTTACTATAATACAGAATTTGAATAAAATGCTGAAATTTCAAAATATATTGCTAGTCAAGTAATTTGTATGTAAATGTAATTGAGAAAACTGTTTATTGTATCTGCAAAAAAGATTTCTGGAACAACTCTACTAATAAGGATTCCAATTGTTACGGAGTCATTCACTCAACAAACTCATATTGAATACCATGTCACACCAGGCATGGGATTTTTAACCCTACATTTAGTAGAACTTTTTAAATGACACTCATTAGCAGACGCTCATTTCACATATGACTGAGATGATAAAGCAAGTACTAGAGGCAATGACAAGATAATACTTTGCCAAGCACCGTTACCCTAAAACGTGAAATCGAGTGACAGGTCTCTCTCCTCGCTAGCTAGGGCTCACCAGAAGCTGAATACAAGAAGAATCGGTCTCAATTTTCACTTCCAAGAAAAGGTACATGCCCATAAGCCAGCCTCTAAAATCAAATTGAGCGTCTTCATCTACAGAATGCAGCAAATACTACCTGCCTTTCTCTCTTCCTGGAATTTTGGGTGAGAATTCAAGAGATACAACATATAAAGCCTATGACCTCTAAAGAACTACACCAATATATGTTGTTGCTCTTATTATTTTCAAGAGGAAATATAAGCAGCATTCCATGTTTCTATTCCTCAGCTAGTCCAAGTAATTTACAAATTACTGAACAACTTCAATTGTTTCTGTCTTCCCCAGCTTCATAACATTGTTGCTGCCTCCATCTGCTTCCTAAACCTACTCTTGCTTCAAGTCTTAGCTCAGACAGGCCTTCTCTAAAGCCTTCTTTTTACTTTCTCCATCCCACTCACTATTGATTGAAGTTCCATCTCTGTGTGCTCCTAAAACCCCCTGTTTTCTCTCTACGAGAGCACTTCCTCTATTAGGTCATTGCCTTTTTACTTGTCCCCTTATATTGCTCCACTGGAAGTTCCTGGGGATGGGAACAATATCTTGCCTGTTTTTTGCATACCTGACATGACAAGTACTTCAGCAAATGTTGCCTGGATTGGTAAATGAATTCATAAAATGTTTGGGAATAAATTTTTTTAGAGCTTATGCTACAGACTACACACTCTGCCAAGCACTTTATACAAAATTATCTCATTTTATTCTCAAAAAAGAATACTCTACGATAAGCAGGATTAGTATTCCCATATTATGGATGTGGAAATATATGAGAGATTAGGTTCAGCCCCAATCACGCAGATGGTAAATGGTAGGTCTAAGATTCCAAGATCTCTCAAACATTGTATTAACCATCTCAGTCCGGTGGAATTCTCATTTTCACAGGTTCGAAAACTGTATTATACCAATTTTCCAGGAGAGATCAGGTCCTGGTTTATGTATGCAAGGTAACTGATCTTAGACCAAAGCATATAACAGAGTACAAATTTATTAATTTCTAATAGAATATACAAATGCTAAGTAGGCCAAAATATTTTTTTCTGTATTTCATGATCTCACCTTTAAAAAAGCTACATAAGATATCATATTTGTTTGTTCTTTCAACAAATATCATTGACCACCCATTAGATAGAAGATATTGAAGACAAGGCAATAAACTAGATGGAGAAAAAAAGCCATACTTTTGTGGAGTTTATATTCTAGCGAATTCTTATTTGGCACCATGTGCCAAGCACTGCGCACTTTACTTTTATTGACTTACATAATCTTTCTAACAACTCTATGAATTTGTTACTACTGTTACCTCAATTCTACAGATATGTACACTGAGGCAAAGAGAGGGTAAGTAACTAGTTCAAGGTTAAAGATTTTAAGAGCTGCACTCACAGCTTGAACAAGGCTCTCTGTACAAGGAACTTGCAGTCCAGGCAAGAGAGCTGTGTGTCAGTGGATCCTGTCACTCAGCCTCATGGGATGTTACGAATTGTGCTACAGAACCCTGGATGCCGTGAGCACCCAGGGCACCAGCTCTTTTCCTCAGGCCCTCTTGTTCCCTGAGGAATGCTACAGATGCTCTGATACAGACCTGCTTTCCAGTCTTCCTTTGTATTCATCCATCAGAAGCCCCATTACCTCATGCCTCGTAGGTGTAATACGATTAAGTCCGTTACATTCCCTTCATATGAATTGCTGGTTGCAATTAAGAGACAGCCCACTTACACTCATTTCCCAGAGCACAAGATCCATTTTATGCTTTGTTTTTTAAAATTTAGATTGTTCTCAACGTTATACCTTAGGGCTATAAGTGCTTCTAGTCTTTGACTACAGCTTTTGCAAAAACTAGAACTGGAAATAAGCTTTTACATTTCTAAATCATTCCTGTTTTGAGAGGTCAGCAGCACATTATTAGTACATGGTTTCAGCAAGGACATAAAAACCTTTTCTTTATAGACTTTTATTGAGTAATATTTTAAATGTAATATCTATTATATAAATATTACATAATTATTTATATTTTATTATCTATAATATATTTCAATAGTATGTCACCAGATATGTGATTGGTGCATTCCACAATAACATAACGCTGTCTTTATTTTCAGCTCTCCCCAAAACTATGCCTCCTACGCAGTAGCAGACAAGTTGTATCTGAATTGAAAGTTTAAATCTAAAATAGCAGTAGCATTAAAAATTGGCTATAAACAAAAATTGATTAAAGATTTCTCCTTTGAAAAATTCTCTCAATATGAGCTTCTATTTCTTTTCTTTTCTGGTTGCTCCTGTGTCTCTTCTCTTCTTTTTTTCTTAACAGATGCCAGTCCCATTCCGTTTCCTTCTCAGTACTCCACCAACACTTCCTCTCAATTCTAGCTTAATCTCCTATCTTCTTTCCCATTAACCTTTAATATACACACTTGCTATCTCCTCTTTACTTCCTATCTGGCCCATTCATCTCTCATTTCTTTCCTAATATAATAGATGTGAGAAAGGAAGCTCGATACTCTATAAAACAAACACAGAAATTAAGGTCTCAAAGATGAGAGAACAGGATAACTGAATTGCACCACCTGAATACAAACATATTTACATATTGTCTCTTTCTCAGGTGTTTTTTCCTCTTGCTTTTCTAAACCAATATTTTAGGGAGGAAAAAAAAAGACGCACTAATTTTTAATCCCTCTCTGCTCCATCAACTGAAATTTCTCTGAACTGCATTTGAAATAACCTATTCAAAGGATTAACTGTGTCTGGCATTTATCTTTGTATCTCTCCTACCTGGCAGAATGCCTGTCACAGAGTAGGCCCTCAATGAGCGTTTGACGAACAGAACTGAAATAAAGAGGGTTAATACTTGATAGGAAATAAATAGGTGAATTAAAGGAGAAACTGCTGTTCACCAATTGCTGCGGTGAGGACCGCGGACTTGGATGAGGGCGGGTGGTCAGGACTCACAACTTTACGTCCTACTGTTGGACTCCTCACTCTTTCCCTGATTATCATTTCCCTTCCCTCCCGGGCCACCTATTCAAAGGTGCAAGCACCTGTTTGCAAGTTAGGGTTAGAGTTGTACTAGAGGTTCAAAGACTCAAACAGATGATGCTGTAATAAGTCACTTGTTTTTGATCCCTAAATAAATGGTGACCCAAATCTAACACTGGGCTAAAAGAAAAATCTAAATGTAAAACTTGCTTTAATGGTCTTGCTTTTCTTCTGTTCTTATCTCCCTATAACACTCAGATTTTAAGACACACTGTCTGAATTAAACCTTCATGTACTCTCAACACTACTTGGACTTGCGGAATGTCAAAAATATCATGGAGAACAGCAGTTCTCAAAAGGAACTCTTTCAGAGACTCCTTTCAGGGGGTTTACGTCCGCACCCCCTCCCCATAGAGAAGATGTGGTTTATTTTATACATTTGACTTCAGAGTACCTTCTTGTTAGAAGAATGGAACATGGTGCTCTCCATATTTTTACGTCAACCAACCTAACCCAATTCTATCATCTAAAAATGAATAAAATCGTACTAACTTTCACTGTATTTAGAGTGAATCTCATCCCAAAACTTAATTCAACTAATTCTAGAATCAATATATAGTAAAAAAGAAGGGGATGTAAAACAATAATATGTTTTACTTAGTTAATAAATGAACTGATTTCATACTAGAGGACGGAACCTGTACGTGGTGCAGTAGAGGCCCATGGCATGAGCAGTCAGTACTTCAAAAGGTACCACATAAGACTCATACAGGTGAATTGGAATTGGTAAAATTGGAAATTGAGAGAGATTCTGATAATCTAGTCTATTAGGATTTAAAACCAACAGATGAGTTTTTCTGCTTCCTCACCATTCATCTTATGCGGCCCTGTTACTGGAGTACTCAACATACCTTTACAGACATGCTATTCTCTGTTCTTAAGATCTCTACCCACCCCAGGAATACATTTTTACTTTAACAAATTATTTCTTTTGTACACTCCTTTCCAAATGAAAGCTACAGCCTACATTTACATTTCTCTGTCAGAAACTTTCTCAACTCTTTCTCCTAACACCAA